CATTGCCGTCAAACTCCCCCATCTTGGGTTGTCATGGCCCACAGAGAGTCACTCCATGGTGTCCAGGGCACCCCCCACCCACGCACCAAGTGGCTAATGAGGTCAAATGAGGAATTACACAGTGAGTTTAACCCAGAGGCTCGGGACGGCATGTTCAGAACAGATTGGTATGTTAGCTGATATCCAGGACACCTGTGATGCAGTGGATCATATGGACAGGAAGGCAGAGTGACAGGCCTGCAGAGGGAAACATGGAAACAAAAGAGCTGATGGAAAATGCAGGAAAAAAATAGCCCTCTCACGTAACCTCTCTCTCTCTCTCTCTCTCTCTCTCTCTCTCAATGCTTGAAGTGTAGCAGAAATCTGCAGACCAGGCACAGCAATTCAGCAGACATTTAGGTTCATAGACAGTGCAGCTGCCTCTCTTGGGCTGAGATTAATTGCTGGATGGATAAAGCCACAGTGATTGACAGATGAGTTGCAGCATTGAGGAGACATGAGAGAGATGAATGTGGAGCAGTTCAAAGTGGAAATAGCGTTGAGTGCTTTTGGATTCCTCCAAAAAAAGTTTGCTGATGAAAATGTTGATTTTTAGCTCCTGAGAAGTCAACCGACATCACAGGGTGAGTTATAGATGTCACAGGTGCTCAGGCCTTTTTTCAAACTGCAGACACTGATAACCAACCATGTCATGACTGATATCCTTGAAACGGAAAAAGTTGCACAGAGACAACTTTTGATTCATGCCCTTTTTAAATATTCTACTGATGCTTGTGCTCTATCGCTGCATTAAACATGTTCTGTGTTGTGTTGTGTACTCGCTCTTTTTTCCTGATTGTTGTTTAGCTCAATTTGCCACCATGTGCAAATGTGAAGGACCAACAAAGCACTTTTAACATATCATCATATGATATGACATATGAACATGAATGATCTAGCTAGAATGTGTATTTGTGTCATATATTTTTATTTGGCATTATTTTAGCATATTTTATGGCCCTTAGTGAATGAAACCTACTATACCTTGCTTTATAATCTAATGCAATGAATTGCTGACTTACAAGTTATGTTCTACTTCTTGTTAACTTTCAAGTATCATACCCATAGCTCAACCTGACATGACTGTTTTGAACCACTTTTCAGAGCAGCGTCTCATCCCTACTCTGGTTGTGTATCTAATAATTAAGCTTCTGGTGCGATTCCTAAACATTTGAAACACTTGAAATTCAGCTATTAAACAACGTCATCTTGAGCAATGGGAAAATGTGGTTTGGATTCTTTAAATATTTGATGAAATTTCATGGACCAAATGTTTTGTTGGTTATCTCACAAAAAAACTGGCAGAATAATTGATAGTGTCAATAATTCTCAGTGCTTCATACCCTACATAATTAATTTCCTCCACAAGTGGCAATTATATTTTATCTTCTCCTGTGAGTATTTTTTTTGCGTCAATTTCTTTATGGACATGTATCTGAGTTTTCTGTTTTCCTCCATTTGCATGGTGGAATACTCTATAAGATCATAGGGCTTAAAAAACACATGCTGCATAGCAAACTAACAAAGGCCCCTGAGTAAAAAAAAAACATACCACAGGTAGCTCTGATTTGATGGAATTGTTTTCCCACTGGCTGCAGGAGCAGGATGAAGGTAGCCTCCGAGACCCAGACACCTAATGTAGCATAAAGAACAGCTCAAAATTTGCCTGTGGTCAGAGAAAGCCATTCTGGTAACTAGGTCTCGCCTAATGAACTACAAGGCGCCGTGAATGACAAATAAATTGTGTTTTTCTATTTTTTTTGGCCAACAAAATGCTCAATGCATCACTAATAAGGTTAATTTGAGTCCCAGTGGACACAAGGCATTAGCCTAAGTGTTTATCTGCCTCAGCGCTGTCCCCTGTTAGACTGACAAACAGGAGCAGTGCTTGCAGTGTCATTACAATGGCACTAAGTAGAAGGTGAATGCCCAATTTACCCATCGGGTTTGAGCCAAATGAACAAGATTCAATCATTAATTACTTGTTGCTTTGTATATGCAAGTTAACGTTGAGAGCATCTGCGGCCAGAGAACACACATGCAGGAGTAACATAGATATCCTCCTCTGTGTGAGGTGTTTAGTCATATATGTAAAATGCATGGTTCTCTGCCTGCACGTCCCATTTCCCTAAACTGATTACAATTACAAATTCAAGTGAGGCCAACGCAGCACAACAGTTATCTACGGCCAAATGATAGACTTCCTTAATTACAAATGGCAGACTTGGAGACTGCTGTTGAATGAATTATTTCTCTGCGATGCTCCCACCGCCTCAGTGCTATTCAGTCAGACAGTTTAAACATGCCAGAGAGCTCAACTAGAGGCTGCTGTTAAATTCACCAGGGCTACTGTTGCATACCGTGGGCTAGATAAGACTCATTTGAATAATTCCCATACAGCCCTGCTGCTTTATCTCTGAGTTTACCCATCAGAAATGTGCGGTGCTGCGCTTATAAAGTTGTCAGACAACACAGCACCACTGTTAATCAATAACAAGCTCTGAGCACCACGTTGTATTTTGGCTCAGATGCTACTGACATCCCCCTCAGACTTTTAGATCTATAATAGGCTTTGCTTTTGCAGGGAAATTGACATTTTGAATTCTTTTCAGCCATGTCTTTGTTGTGTTTGTGAAATTTTGCGGGAGAAAGCAAAGCCAGCTACACGCCAACGCTGTATGTTTCAGGCTTCATGGGAGTTGAGCGTACAGTGGCGAGAAAGTGACTGCCTAAGCTTCAATCCTTCTGTTGGGATGTGTATGGGAAGGAGGGGGTCTAAGTCCCAAGTCCATTAAATCACTGTACAACAGATTAACAGAAGCCTATTAGTTGAAAAGAGTTCTGAGATTTCCCACTCCCACATGTGCTCCCAGAGTCAGCGTGGCACCTTCAAAGTTGTTGGAATTACCTGATGTAAAACCACACACTTTTCGAGTCATGAGTAACAGGCCAGTCTGTGGGACAGGGTGTAATTAAGAGGAGGGTGTTCGGGACGATAGTAAGTCTTTGATTAAATCTACGAAATCTCTATAGACGGTTGGTGCACTGAACACACAGAGTTCCCTCTGCGAGACACAGACGAGAGAGAACAGACAGTCATTGTGCTCAAGTCTGTCACGGGCACCATGCACTATAAAGGCCTTTACACAAGCATCTGCTATCACTACCATGTTATTTCCAGCTGATCCAGAGTGTCCAGTAGATTCAAACTTGCGATGACTTACGCATGCAGACGGACCGAGTCCAAGATTGCCTCTGCAGCGCGAGCATCTGAAGATGGATATTGTCTTGTGGGTGCCAAGACTATTTTGGGAGCCCCTGACTTGTCCCTGAGCACCCTCTGATCAGCTTTGTCATCAGGTGTGACAGCAGCTACACACTCCCTGGATGCATCCCGACACTCACACCTCAGAAACTAATGGCTCTTTGTCACTTCTCTGTAAGGAAAAGAAAAACTGACAAGAGAAAAGAAAAAAATAAGCAAGCCTCTCTGCCGGCTTCACTTTGCTTCTTCAATTCTTGTAGAAATTGGAAACAAAGAGAGAAAAATCTGGAGATGCCATTCATGATAACCTTGAAGTAGACAGCAGGTATAGAGGCTTTACTGAAGCATATATCTCTATAAGAACATGATAGAGGTTAATGAGTAATAGTTTTATGTGATTAACCAGGAACAATGTTGTAACTGTGTATGACCAAAACCCTCATGAAATACATGGTGTGATGCTGATGTTACTCATCAAACATGTTTCAAATGTTTGCTTCTTATTGAAATTGGAAACAGGGAAAAAAGCCAAAGAATTCACGATAACCTGAAAGTAGGCTGCAGGTACAGAGCTTTTAGCATGGGGTATATCAATATCAATAGTGTTCTTCAATAAGAGTTTTAGATGTATTTAACCAACAACACGAAGTTGTGGCTGTGAAACACCTAAAGCACAGTGGAAGGCATGATTGGATGGTTATTAGTGTTGTAACTCTCCATTTCATTATGCATGTTTTGTTTGATTATCAAGAAATTTGAGACAAAGAGATGCAAGGAGTAAATGTGAAGATGCCTTGGAGTTGGTGACAGGAGGTTTTCCTGGAGGACATTATAAAGGTAAAAACAGGCTTTACTTGGAACAAAGTTGTGCCTGTGGATGATCACACGCATAATGAAAGGCATGATTTGATGGTTATGCTGAGATTCTCCAACCTTTTTCATTCTGCAGTCACTCTTGTTGACTCTTTGACGTTTTCCATTGCTTGTTTATTCCGTTTCCTATCTCATTGCCTATTTCTGCTTACCTTTCCATTTCCTATGCGCGGCAGATGCGTGAGCCTAGATGGATTCTGCAGTGCGTGCTTATTGTTCAAACACGCCGGAGCACGCGCATTTACGTGCACATTAGCGCTTCCTTTCTCTACTTCTCCTTTTTTTTATATGCTGGTGCGCAATGGTGAGTGGACGAAGTCGCGTCCTGGAGAAGTTTCCGATGCGTGCGTCAGGACAGTGGCGCATTGGACGGTTGTAGCAGAGCTGGATGCGCTGCGAGAGGAGGAGGAGGAGGAGGGAGATCATACATTAACTCCTGCTGGCTGCGGGGACTCTCCACTTGATAGAAGCCAAGGCGGGGAGGATGCGCTCAGAACAACACTGAGGAACCAACAAATGAATCGCAACGGAAATTTCACTTAATTCTGTTCTTGTGGCTTCTTCTTGTTTTCCAGGGGATTGTTTGTTTTACGCAGCGCAAAGAGAGTGAAAGAAAACGCTGCAGAGATGAGTGTCGCGTGGTTTTACATGCTCCTGAAGGATCCCCTCTCCTGATACAGGGACCGAAGAGGACAAAACAAGGCTGCCCATGATATTCCCCAAAAGAAGAACGCAAAGGTGGAGCGATTAGAGAAGGGCTGATGACGGGACTATTAATCCTTTCAGTGCATCCAAAGCACCAAAGGGTATTGGAATCGTTTGGATGGAAATCGGGCGAGTGTTTAGAACTGTTTCTGGTTTTATATGAAACTGGTGATTAATTGTTGTGGCACATCTGCAAGGATTTTTTATTTTTATTTTTATTCTCACTGCCTCTTTTCTTTTTTCCTCTTCCACCGAAAGGTTTTTATGGTATGAGCGGCTCCCCGCTGTGAATTTCCAGAAACTCATCTCAATCTTTATTTATTTTTCTCTTTTCCAGTATTCCTCAATCTAAATGGAATTAGTTGAGCCCGAAGCCGTTTGTGAAAGGAACAGACATGGTACATGGGCACAGCTTCCATCACGGTAAGTCATCCGTATTCATCGGCTGAAGCACACATGGTCAGAGCCTCTTATTGCATATGCTCATGCTACCGAGGAAACAGAAGTATAGTAATCCTTGAATCAGACTCTTAAATATCAGAGCAACAGATTGAACAGAAAATAGCAGCAGGCTCAGGGTGATTTCTTTGGATAAAAATAAAAATGATCAAGAGTTGATATAGAGACACTGGAACCTGTAAACTCATCCTTGAAGGTCACACTGCACGTTCTTTGCTTTTCTTTGAATTCATCATTCTTTTGTGTTTGGAAAGTGATTTGAAACAACTTACATGTGTCTTTTTATTGATTTTAAAATAACTTGAAGTCATTTGTTCGTTCTTTTTTTGAAAGATTCATTATTTTAAGGGGTGTGGAGAAGATTTATGTTGGAAACATCAAATTATATGCTTGCACAAAGTTCTCTATTCAGAGTCATGAAGGTTTTCATTTGTTCTAATCACAGAATATTTGAACCTAATTGCTTCTTACCATCTTTATTTCATGAATTATTTGCTGTTTTGAGATTCTTAAGGTTATAAGGTTACACACAGGTCGGGTTTAGCATTATAGCACAATGCTGATGTAAAGTGCATGACATCCAAAACCTGAAACGTGTCCCACGCTGACTCAGCTGAAATCAAGCCGTGCAAAAAAGAAAATCATTTTCATGCCACAGTCTTCAACCCAGAATGTGTTTGTGTCTCCTTCTGTTCTTCCAGTAGTTGCAAGTCTTCTCATACTTGGGTTGTCTGGGGCAACAAAGAAGGATACAGCAGGTAATCTCCATCACCACAACCACCAAGTCTTCTCTGCACAGATATGGCTTCTCCTCCACGCTTTAGTCCCTGACTCTTCTCTTTTTTGCTTTGTGTTACTTAGTGAAGAACAATTCTGGAGTGAAGCCTGCAGGTCAATGTGGAACGTGGGTGAAAGAACCAGACGGAGGCCTCTTCACTTCTCCCAACTACCCGAACAAATACCCCCCAGACACCGAGTGTGTTTACATCCTTGAAGGTAAATATTCTAGAAGCAGTATAAGGAAAAGGAAGGGGATCCAGCTATTTATCCTCCACTGATGCTTTCTTGTGGTTGTCCTTGGTGAGGGTTGGGGATCACAGTAACTGCTCAGGCAATGATGAGATGGTTTATTAAAAGTGGCTATTTCAGGCTGTTATTTTTTCCCACATATTGAGATGCTGCTTGATTTATCGCCAAAGATAATCAGGTTAAAATATTACCAAAGTGAACATGGGAGCTGAAGACTTATCACAGCTCCACTGCTTTAGAGATTAATTGACCAGCAGCCAGGATTGCTGGTGCGTATTGAGCGTGTGGGTGTGCTTAAATTGAAACACAGCGAACATTCATCAGTGAAAGCATGGCTAATATTTTACTCCCCGCTTTGTGCTCAGTGGTAATTATTTTCATTGTGTCTTCCAGCACCCCCGAGGCAGTGTATCGATCTGCATTTTGAGGAGAATTACTCAATCGAATCCTCTTGGGAATGTAAATTTGACAACATCGAGGTTCGGGATGGACCCTTTGGCTTCTCCCCAATACTCGGACGCTACTGCGGTCAGCATAGCCCGCCTGATATCAGGAGTAGCGGCCGATATCTGTGGATAAAATTTGTTACTGATGGAGAACTGGAAGCGGTGGGATTTTCAGCAAGTTACAACTTCACTGCAGGTACATTTTTTGGAATTGTTTTGTCTTTTTGCATTGGTCACAGCATTTCTTTCTTTTTAAGCATATTTATGCTTTATAGCTCCAACAGCGAGGCTCCAAATCAATAACAAACGTCATCCAGGGAACTCGGCCTTGAGGGAGCCTCTTGCAGTTTTATTGATTGTCTGTCTGCAAACACTCAGCATTTCCATTGGCAATATACTGTCACTGGCTGGGTCACTCTTGTGACTGGCTGTTATTTCTCCTCTCTCTGTATCCGGAGCGATGTGTAACAGTGTCAGATTTTAATTCTCTTCAGCAGCACCACTCCAAAGTTTACAGGGCTGGGAGAAGCTGAGAGAGTAATCTGTATTGTCGAACACAATCATGGCAATTATGATCATGTGTAAAACCTTGGCTTTCTTAATTTGCCTCATCTTTGGTTGAGATCCCATTACTGGAGCACTGTGAGTATTGATGACAAGGAATCAGAGCATAACCATGATTTAATATTCCTTCACCTACACTTGACTGGGTTTAATAACACTGTCAACTTCTTTAGTGTGTTTGAGGCTTGATAGGCACTGTGCCAGGAGGTACGAACGCTATGCTAATTCGTTTCCACAACCAGTGCACCTTCAGGGGCATTTTACCATAGGAGAAACAAAGTAAGAATGTCATTGTTAACACAATGAACACTTATGCAGTACATTTCACTGAAAAACAGGCTACTAGATACAGGTGTTTAAAAACAAAGGTATTGAGGTCAAGAGGGGTCATATATTTATCTCCAATTTCTGTCTGTTAGCTGTTCAAGAAATTAGAATGATAAATCCGTTCATTGGACATTATGGTAAAAGAAAAATTGCAGTCTGTAGCAATGAAATGTACTGAGCAATAAAGCAAAGGATTTCATACCATGGGTTGTTAAGCAGTAGTGCCGCGCCAGTAGATTTCTGAGATTTAGAAATGTATAAAAAAACAAGAGGAATCTGCTGGAGCTCAAATGTTTTTCATTGTAATCACATTGAAAGTTACAGTGTCAAATATTATATTTTTCATATAATTTAAAAAAGAACTTGGAAAGATGAAAAAAGTGCACGAAAAGTAAAACATGAATTGGCACAAATGTGAAGAGTGTCAGGCGTGGTTGCCTTCTTTGCTGCAGGGATTGCTTTCAGCTCAGGTGTGAGGCTCTTATCCTGCAGCTGAGTTTTGCACATCAATTGTTCTGTCAGCTTTGATATAAGTTTCACTCTTAAGAAATGCACTTGTGATACTGGAAGTGTGTATTTCAGTGAGGCTAGTTGAGAAACTTAACTCTTATGACACAAGATGGTCTTCAGCCCAAAGTTAACCATGCTAGCATCAAAGAAATGAACTATTCCTTTGATGGCTAGCATAGGGAAGAATATAAACTCTGTGGAAAAACTACACAGAGCTTGGCTTGAAGCTGTTAACTATACGTTTGCGTGACAGTGTGCATACATTAGCTCAGTCTGATCTCAGAACTCCAGTTGTTTTTGGTATTTACCTCCGGTTTCTTTCTGCTTTCTTCTCATTAATGTAAGATCATAAAGTAGACCTCAGTAAGTACAAATTGTTTTGCTCAAAGTGACACATTTCCATTTCACGCGGTGCATTTTTTTGCTTCATTCACACCAACACAGGGTCATTTTGCCCATAATCTCTTTCCATTTAGATTAATTTCCTCAAAAATGTGTTTTGGGTTCATGACCTTCTGCACGTTTTTTTAAAACAAAGAGGTCCCAAAACTGGGCTCAGCCAATAGTCTTTTAGTTTTTCATCAGTCAGTAAAGAGCTCAACTGATATTTATATGGAAACGTTTCTTTAATATAAAAACATTTTTGTTGACATCTACAGTTTGTCCAGCTTGTCAAGTTTTGATACCAATTGAGCACACAACTTCATTTTGTTTGAGTGACAGTGAGTGATGTTCTACAAAGTCCTCCCTCGTGGATGAAGGACAGCACAAAACACCTTCAAGTCTACATCTAGAAAACTACACAGGAAAGACAATTTGTTGTTTCCAGCTCTTAGAACTACTACTTGGAGAGGAAGAACCCAGACTATGTAAAAAATATGTACATTTCTTTGTTTCTTTTTCCTGCTTCTCTTGGGAGCTTCATTGAAATTTTGCTGCAAGAAAAGAAAAAAAGCTCATTCCTCTTGACTCAATAGGCAATATCTGTGGCGTATGATTTGCATAATTAAAGAGGATAAAAGTCCTGAATTCACTTGACTTGATAATGTGAAATCTGGCAGCATGAATAGGGTCTCACATCTGCATGTGCTCTGTGAACCAAGCTAATTCACACAGTCCTCCACTGATGAATGAGAGTGATGGAGAAGAGGCAATGTAGCTGACGTGAATGAGCTCCTTTCACTTTCTTTCCTCAGTCATTTTAGGAGCCAAGTAATAAAAACTCTTACGTCTTCTCCTCACATTCTGCCAATGTTCGCTCACAGCCCTTGATGACTAATGCGAGTAGCACTAGTGAATGAAAAAAAGCAGTAACTGGAATCTCACAACATCCAGTGCCATATTATATGTTGAGGTACTTCAGGGAAGCACTTAAAGTCTGCAGATGCTATGTATTCAATTTATATGTGGGGAGGAAGTAGGAAACTGCGGGTGTAACAGACACTAGAGAATCACTCAGAACAGTGACTAAATGAATTTGGCTGCCACAGTGATGTGATGCGCAATTTATTTGTCAAACAAATTACACCCAGATGCCTCGTGTAAGGTCTCCTCTTACGTCAAAGCACAAAGACAGCAGTCTTTTCCCACCGCTGCAATAAATACTGCAGCTATAGTTTTTTTTAGGGTATAGAAAGTAAAGGGGAGTGTGACAAAACACTGAAAATCATATATTCAATTTCCTGTTTAATTCACTCGTCAAAGTCACACTGTCGGTGATGAGACAGTGTAGCACCTCCATAGAGCTCAGTATGGAGCCCATGTGATAAGCTGCAGGTGTGACTCTTAAGTTAACTGAGTGAGCATATCTTGCACTGTAGTCAGGAAGCACCTCAGCCCACCTACAGGCTCATATATGCAGCCTTTACTCATGAGAACAGATAGGCTCCAATAGAGGGGGAGAGGTCTCCTGTAGCAGTCTCCCACAGTCCCTCACTTTTCCATCACTACTGTCCAACTGGCATTCCATTCCTGTCCAGTCTCAGTCCAAAGTCTTTTCTCAAAAAGTTGTTCCTCATGTCTTATGAGAAATATCGGCGAACCCCACCAAACAGAGATCAAAATGTAAGTGTGTAAGGGGCTGTAGATTTAACCTTGACATATTATCCTTAAACAACTTTGAAGCCGCATGCAGAGCTACTGTGAGTGTATACCAGTAGTCATCCGGTTCTAGTGCTCAACTTTCTATCCATATCCAAAAGGCAGTTCAGTCATTCTTCATTAAGACAGGGAAGCCCGAGACAGAGGAGTAAAGCTGTAAACCACCCACGACAGCAGTGTTGACTGAGAGCCTCGGGCCACAGAGGAAAGACTGTGTTTGCAGAAGAATTCCTTAGATCATTTTTATATCGTTTTTTATTTTCTTTGTTTCATCCTCTGTAGCTTTCTGGTTATTTTGTGCAAATATATTCAGAGTGAAGCAAAAATGGAGTTCTGAAAGTGTGGCAATACATGAAAGTGTGACATTGAGCTGTGTGGTGTTGTGATGTCTTTAAAAGCTTTATATATACATGTATATACTATAGATACACACATAACATGTGAAGTTGCCTGCCCTAGACTCACCTCATCTCTGGAGGTCAGCAACAAAGCAGAACAGTTAGACTGCGTCATTGTGACATATGCATTCATGTGCAGTAGTAATGACACAATACAAAATAACAAGTCTTATTTCACTTGGATAGAGTATGCACAGCAGGGACAAATATAGAGTAGGGAACCATGGTGTGTATAGTTCTGTGCATGTGTGTGTGTGTGCAAGGCTGTTTAAGCAGACTTCTGCTGTTCAGGTTGTCCTAGAGCGCCTTGACCTTAGGAACCCTGTGGACTGGTAGATTAAGTGGTGTTTCAGCACCTTTAGCCAAAGCCAGAGCAAATAAAAGCTGCAAGTTCTCCCCCTCTTGCTCCCTGCACTCTGATCATTGAACATGCTGTTTGCAGAGCCAAGACCTGGTCCTGAGGCAGATGCTGCTATATATATAAAAAAAGAATGTTTATGTGTGTATACTGCTGTGATGTAAATCTCTTTTTTGGGTTTGCAAATTGTTTCAAGCAGAAAATATTTCACTTTACAGGGTTACTTCAGAAAAAAATACATCCTATGTTAGATTTCTGTAGATTTGTACATCATGTATTTTGTTTGAATATGTATGAACCGTATGTTTTCTACACTAAGAATTCAGGCCATGACTAATGAATCTATAATCAAGACGACTCTGATTGTCCTAAGCACCTTATCGCCGCTCAAAGCTCCAACTGCATTGAGAATCGTTTTGGAATAAAATGAGTCAAGTGGTATTTATGATTATGGCTGGAATAGGATATATGGGCCATTCATAAAGGAGGCAGAGTCATGTGATTGAACCTAGATGGGCTCAAACTGGAAAATTGAAAATTGAACCGAAAGAGATTGACTCTTCGCTCTTGGAAGGAACTGACTACACGGCCGCACCGCTGCAGAGCTGGACAGAAAGTTCAGTGACTCCCCAGTTTCGCCTCTGTCTCCAAAGTCTGTCGCTGGCAGTGTGCTGTTTTGTTCAGTTGCATCCTCAAATCACTGACAGTCACCTGGTTGCCAGAGAGACTTACAGTATCATAACGTACGATTGTTGTCATTTACTGTACCTCAAGTTAAAATTAACAATTCTCTAAACCTAAAAACATAATTAGACACATGTCAAAGGGAGTTTGGCAAAACATGGACAGTAGTATGCAAACAGCTAAGGCGATCTTATTCAGCAGATGCGAATTCGGGCAAATGGATGTTATCCACCTGAATCTTAATTATCTTTAAGT